AATTGAACTGGCGTCCATATGGGATGCCAGCACTGCAGGCGGCAGCTTTACCCGCTATGCCACAGTGCCGGCCTCTATCTGCTTTTTTTTTTTAAAAAAGATTTATTTATTTATTTGAAAGCACAGAGAGGCAGAGGCAGAGAGAGAGAGAGAGAGAGAGAGAGAGAGAGAAAGTCTTCTATCTGCTGGTTCACTTCCCAAATGGCTACAAGGGCTGGAGCCAGGAGCTTCTTCTTCTGGGTCTCCCACGCAGGTACAGGGGCCCCAAGCACTTGTGCCATCTTCTACTGCTTTCCCAAGCCAAAGCAGAGAGCTGGATCGGAAGAGGAACAACCAGTACTTGAACTGGTGCCCATATGGGATGCTGACACTGCGGGTGATTGCTTTACCTGCTACATCACAGCTCTGGTCCCTATATCTGCTCTTAAAATCCAATCTGAAAATATCTGTCTGATAACTGTTGTGTTTGACAGCTTCATTTAATATAGATATTGGTGTTACTGTATTAAAATCTATAATCTTGCTTACTTTTTTCTATTTGTTCTATATAAAAATTTTCTTTTTCTTCCTCTATTGGATTGGTTTTATTGATTCTGTTATATTTTCATTAATTATTTTTTATTTATGTCTCTTCAAATTGCTTTTAATGGTGGCCAAATTTTACAACTATATTTTTAATTAGTTGAAGAATACATTCAAATAATTATATTTATGTTCTGATATAAATACTTTAAAATTTGTCCATTCTCCATTCCTATTATTTCAGCTACCACTGCCATATGTAATACTTCTACATATATCATTACTTTGGAATACACCAATGATCTTTTTACTTCATGTAGTCAGTTATGTTTTAGAGCAACTAACACAAGAGAAATAGTTTATTTTCATTATACCTTTTCTAGTACTTCATTTTCTTAACAAAGAATTCAGTTCAGCTTCAATAAACGACTCAATCGTTTATTTAAGTGTCTTATAGCTCATGTATTCTCATGATAAATTCCCTGTTTTGGTAAGAAAAGAGGCTTTGTTTTTGAAATTTATCTTTGAAATATGTTTTAATGGGTGTTGAATTTTGATTTGAACTTTTCTATCTCCGTGTTTTCAAGACATCTCTCCATTCTCTTCCAGATTCTTTGATTTCTTATGATAGTACTGCCTTAGTTCTTTATGTTCTACATGTAAACTGTCTTTTTTCCATTCTTCTGGCTGCCTTCAACAGATTACTTTTCTTTTTATATTTGACTAATGGCAGTTTTAAAATACTTCTTGGTGTGTGCAGGTGTGTGTTTTGTATTTACCCAGATTGGTATTTTCAGAGTTTCTTAATTATGTGGTTTCGTACCTTTATCTAATTTTAGAAAAAAACTTTATCATTGTTATTTCAAAGTTTTTTATTTGATTACTGTTTATTGTTTTTAACCCCTGCCTATATTTCTGCTGAACTAGGATTTTTTTTTTTTTTTTTGCTTTTTACTTGTTGAACCTTTTATTTAATGGAGCCTTAAGCCTTTGGCTATAATGTAAATTAAAAATATGCTATCTCAGAAATAAAGAAAAAAAAGAAATGGAGAAGTAGGGAGAGAGGAAGGTATGTATCATTATATTGTTAGAATTATACTATGAACTACATTGAATTGTACTCTGCATTAATGTCACATTAACATGAGAATTGATGAGAAAAAAATTTTTCTGTCTCCTAAGTTCACTTTTTTTTCTGAGATTTCAACTAAAGTTGCTGTGACATGATCTAGTTACCTGTCCTATTGGTCTTTGTCTCTTTGAATTGCAGCTTGAGCATTTTACATTGACTATCTTCAAGTTCACTAGTTATTTTCTAGAATTTATCTGATTTACAGATGAAATCATTGAGTGCACTCTATTTTCCATGTTTTTATTTATATTACATCTGTTTGACTTTCAAAAGATAAATAAATAAGAATTATTTAATAATGTATGACAGTTCTCAATTCTCATGAAATTTCCCATAGTTTATTAATGTATTATTTTCATTGGAACTATAACATGTTAACACGCATTTATTTATAACTTTATTTTAAAATATGTTAATTATTATTTGTAGAGATAACAAATATTTAATTATATCATATTCTAAGGCTTATAGGCTCCACTAAGGAAAATTTCAGCAAATAAGACCTGGAAACACCTTAGTGTGACAGGAAAATTGGTGCAAGCTACTCACAATAAAGGAAAATATGTTCAACTTCACTCATATAAATTTTAAAACAGACACAAAACCATTGAAACTATAGTACTATATAATTCCTTTCAATTTGTTGGACATGTATTTAAAACAAAATATGTCACAAAACCCTGTATTTTCAGCAAAACTGACATGCTGAATCATTTATTTCTTTCTTTTTAGATTTTAGCTCCCACATATAAGGGAGAATATGTGGTATTTGTAATTCTGTGTCTGGTTCATTTTACTTAACATGATATCCTCCAGTTCCAACCATTTTCTACATATGATAGAATTTCATTTTTTATAGCTGAATAGCATTCCATTACATAATTAACATATATTATATATTATTTCTTTAAATATATCACATTTTCTTTATCCATTCATCTGATGATGGACACTTTGGTTAATTCCATATTTGGTTATTGTGAATAGTGTTGCTGTGAAGACAGTGAAGTTGATATTTATTTGATACAGTGAGTTCATGTCTTTTGGGTATATGCCCAGTAGTGGGACTGTTTAATCATATGGAAAGTTTATTTCTAGGTTTTTTTTTAGAAATCTTCTTACTGTTTTCCACAGTGGCTGCACTACTTCATCTTCCCTCTAACAGAATTTCCCTCTAACAGAATTTCTCCAGAATTTGTTGTTCTCTGTCTTTTGAATAAATGGTGAGGTCTTTTGACCAGGGTGAGGTGATATCTCATTGCAGCTTTGATTTGAATTTCCCTGATAACTAGTGATGTTGAGCATTTTTTTCATATATTTTTTGGCCATTCATATTTCTTCTTCTGAAATCTGTCCATTCAGATCCTTTGCCCATTTTTTAAGTGGATTGATTGTATTAAGTGCTGATATATTCTATTTATTAATCCCTTGTTGGATAAGTATTTTGCAAACACTTTATCCCATTTTGTTGTTCATTCTATTGATTGTTTCCTTAGCTGTGTAGAAGCTTCTGAATCTGATATAATCTTATTTGTCTGGTTCCTGTAAACCACATTTTAAAAAAAGTATTTAAGTTATACAAATTTCATGTATTTCATATGTACAGATTCAGGAACATAGTGATACATCCCACCTGCCCCACCCTCCAACCCATGCTCCCACCATTCTTCCTCTTCTCTCTCCTGTTTCCACACTTAATTTTTACAAAGATCTATTAGTAATCCAGTCCCCAAAAGACAAATACCATATATTCTCCCTGATCTGTGGTAACTAATAGAATGCCTACAAGGTAATGTATGGGAGTGAAATGGACAGGGAGATCTGATGATTGTTTACAGTCTTTGTCTCAACTGTTGAGGGACATTTTTTTTTCTTTATACTGTTTGTTGAACTCTTAGTCTAGGGTTAATCTTATGATTGTAAAGTAAACTGAAAATAGATTCTTCTAAACCACATTTATAAAAATGATACTTAAAAGCAAAAAGAAATATTTAAAAAGCTTTAAACAATCATAAATAGAATGAAAGAGGAAGATAAGCCTATCCATCAGAGACTAGCTTGTGACAAGGTAGTCCCTGAAACTTCAGGAAGAACCAATATGAAGGGAATCTTAGATAAATGATTTCAGAATCCTCTATGGTTTTACATCTCATAAATTCTGACTAGTTTCTGGCTACAGATAATAAAACAATTGTAGAAGGAATCTCTGTGTAAACTTTGTGCTTATTAACATACTTTTTTTCCTAAATGTTACTCTACAAAATTTTTAATTCTTAGCTATGAATAAATTTTGTAATGTCCTTAAAAAGGTTTATGTTGAAGATCTCTTCCTTAATTAAAAGGAACTAATTAAGTGCATGCATTGACTTCTTTCATCTGTTCTACAAAGGTTTTCTAAGCCCTCACTACTTGCCTGCAGTAGGACTAACACTCCAAGCTAACAACCTATGTTAAGATTCTGAGTGAGCAAACATCAGTTAAGGGTCATCACTTCAGAAAATATTGTACCAAGCAGACTTACTTCTATTCAGAGATGCTATACATTATTATAATCAGCACATTGACATTTACAGTTTTTAGAGGGTTTTACATCTAAGTATGGTAAAACTTCAAAAAAGTGATTGTGTTGTCAAACACTATATCTTCATAAGTGTAACAGGATGTTTGGTTCCTGGCAGGTGCTGTGTGACTCTTTGGTGGGTGAATATGTGTCAGTGCAAGTCAAGTTTCCTTTATAACTTTCAGTGTTCCTGTGGTTTCTCTGATCACTCTTGGTCTTCTCAAAGAATACAAGTTTATACTATTGCGCAAGGCAGTAAGTGCATTTTGAAATAGCAAATAGAGGAAGCAGTGATGAGTCACAGATATGAACACGAGGGGATGAGACAGGGGAAAAGAATACGTGGGGGAATAATTCAAAGGGGCAAGATAAAGGCAGAGCGACAAAAATGAGTGGAAACATGAGAACATTTTAGGTAGTGCACTGGGAAACCATTTATTTTATACATGTTTTGTATGAATGAGCAAAATTGTCTCTAGTGATTTGGTGGGTTTTCAGGGCCATATAAAACTTGTTCCATAGCAGGTGAAATACGGGGCATTGAACACATGGTAGTTGGTGACGAGAGAATCTGAAAACCAGAGAGCAGAGTCAGAACCAAAGGGGAAATGAGATGCTGAGTAGGAAGCTGAAGGTTTAGGGAAGGAGTAGATGTTTTCTGTTGCAGTTGGGCTTGCCTGTGGTTGGAGAAGAAAGTCAGAAGGGAGATACGGTGGGGTAGGTTTGTTCAGAAGAGGAATCAAAGAACAACTCTTCTGATAGAAAGAAATAACATCTGCAAGTGAAATGCTGTTTCTGCATCTTGCATTTCTAATTGCTCTCCTCCTAGGTGGGGAAAACACAGCTGGTAAGAACTCTGGCAACTGCCCATTTGGGTGCAAGTGGTTCAGTGTGTGTGTGTGTGTGTGTGTGTGTGTGTGTGTGTTTGTAAGGTATACGATGCCTTCTTCAGCATGAGCTGTATACCATGGGATCCAGGTTAGTTCCCATCTACGTATCCCTGACCTAAGTTCCTTACCTGTGGCAGGCAAATGCCTGCTAATGTGATTATAGCTCTCCCTTTCCAGACTCTGAGATCCCCATGCTGGTCCCTTTCTCTCTCACTTCTGTCTCCTTGGCAGTGCCTTTCCCTCAATTTCTATCTGCTCTTTTCCGCAGGTTTTGAGAAGCCTATCTCCTTCCAAGTCATTCAAATCTCAACTTTTTACAACCATTCCTGGGTACAGAATCTGGGCTCAGGTTGGTTGGGTGAGTTGCAGACTCATCACTGGGAGACAAACTCTGGCACCATCGTTTTCCTGCAGCCTTGGTCCAGGGGCAACTTCAGTAATAAGGAGTTTATAGACTTGGAAATCTGTTTCCGTTCATACTTCATTAGATTTACTCAACAAATTCAGAAGTACGAATTCCATTTTGAATGTGAGTTCTGTCCTCTCAATGACAAGTAAGGAGGTGGATGGGTGGGGGTATCTCAGTGACTTCTAATTCCTCCAGGAAACAGGCTCTTTCTCTTATGATTATTATTCTACTCTTCCCATAATAAAACTGAAATTACGTATTTTGGGGCAAGGCTTTGTTCCAGATTCTTCAAAAATATCCAATCTTGTGACACTTATGATCTCTCCCCTCATTGACAGCAAAATTCTCCTTTGTTATCTTCCCTTAGACGTGTCCTATGTCCACTCTTTTTCCTGCTCTCCAACCAGATACCCTCAGCTTCTTCACTCTTGACTGACTTCGCAAAGCGTGATTTTCTCCCCATTCAATCTTTTGGGCTGTCTCTCTGTACAGTCATTTTAATCTATTGCATTCTATTCACCTTTGATTGTTATAATTTCGACTCTTTCACATTAAGTCTTTCCTTATATACATACTTAGACCAACTTCTTTCAACAATTTTCTTTATTTCTCATGTCATTCTTTTCTTCCTCCAGTGTCTACTCGCAGCAATTCCTCTTTCTCTGCTCCTCTGAGCAAATCTAATTTTGTTCCCTTCCTTCAGACCTCCCAAACACTTCCAGCTTACTTCCATTGTGTTTTTCTTCTTTCCATCCTATTTTATTGTTTTTCTCCCTCCTTTCCCCCTCTAATTCATCACTCCTCTTTCCCAGATCCTTCTGTGTTTCAGGTGGCAGCAGGCTGTGAGCTGCGCTCCGGGGAGGCCTCAGCAGGCTTCCTGCAGGAAGCTTACCAAGGATCAGATTTCCTAAGCTTTCAGAACAATTTGTGGTTGCCGGCTCCACAGGGAGGAAGTGGGGCTCAGAATTTGTGCAGACTACTGAATCTATTTGAAGGCTTCAAGGAGATAGTGAACAGGCTCCTCAATGACGTCTGCCCACGTTTTATGTTGGGACTTCTTGATGCAGGCAAGGCACATCTCCAACGACAAGGTAAGTTTCCTCCTGGGCATGAAGTTTCTTTCTATTGCCTTCAAATTAGTATAAGTAGGGATCCCAGAGAAGTGTAAATGATGTGTCTGAATACCCTTCCTGTCTCCCGCAGTGAGGCCTGAGGCCTGGCTGTCCAGTGGCCCCAGCCCTGGGCCTGGCCGTCTGCTACTGGTGTGCCGGGTCTCTGGCTTCTACCCAAAGCCTGTGCAAGTGATGTGGATGCGGGGAGACCAGGAGCAGCCAGGCACTGAGCGAAGTGACATTCTGCCCAATGCCGATGGGACGTGGTATCTCCGAGTTACCCTGGACGTGGCGGCTGGGGATGCGGCTGGCCTGTCCTGTCGGGTGAAGCACAGCAGTCTAGGAGGCCAGGACATCGTCCTCTACTGGGGTGAGAAAGAACTGGGGTCCAGGCTGGAAATGGGAGGAGTGGGTTTTCAAGCACTTTAAGAGGGGCGGATGAAAAATTAGTGACTTTTGTGATTTTAGACTCAAAATAAACAAAGATAGTTAATTCAAGGAATACAAGTGAAAAGGAGGGGTCACACTGCACTACCAGTTCAAGTCCTGGCTGTTCTGCTTCTGACTTCTCTTCCTGCTTTTGTGCCTGGAAAGGCAGTGAGTGATGGGTCAAGTACTTAGGTCTCTGCTGCCAATGTGGGAGACATGGATGTTGTTCCTGGCTCTTAGGTTTGGCCTGGCCCAGTCCCAGTGTTGATGGCTTCTGGGGAGTGAAGGAGTGAATGGAAGACTGATCAATCTCTCTCTTTTTCCTTCTCTCACCCTCTCTGTCTGTCTCTCCTTCTCTCTCTGTCTGCCTTTTGAATGGATAAGTATATCTTTTTTTTTTTTTTAAAGAGAAAATGAGAGACTTGTAGATGCAGGAGTTTAGACGATGGATCCATCTTTAAAGAGGGACGAAATAAGAAGTAAGAAAAAAAGAGAATGATGTTGTAGACAATCAGCTGAACAAAAACCAGGGGAACACAGTAAACCAGGGAGCAGGTGAGGCATAGCAAGGGATGGGCTCGAAGTAACAACCCTGGTGTCTGCTGAAATCCACAGAGCATCGCAGCCCCATCGGCTTCATCCTCCTGGCAGTTATACCGCTCCTGGCTTTTCTGGCAGGTCTTGCGTTTTGGTTAAAAAAGCGATGGTGAGTTGTCTACCCATTTCTTTTACCTTCTGATTCCTCAATCAGCTTCCTCTTTAAAAAGTTCTCTCTTCAGTTCTTCTTCTCAGAGTCCTTTCCCCTTGTTCTTCTCAATTCTCAGCTCCACCCCATGCTGAGTGACCTCTGTCTTTGCTCTCAATGCTCCATTTCAGGTCGCACCATGGTTCTCCAAACTCTCTTCTCCCTTTGAAGTGAACACCCAGCAGTCCAACGGCCCAGGAGATACCTGAAGGCAGCAGGGTGACAACGTCTTCAAATCGTTCTCGGAAGCATTTGTTGTTATTTATTTATGCTCAGTGATCAGTTGTTGATAGCAGGATCTGTTGTTCTGACCTGGGTTATGATGTTCTAAAATTCAAATCTGAACTTTCAGTGGAATCAGGTCCTGGTCACATCCTCCTGTTCAGACCCTAATGGGTCATCAGACCCATTTCAGCTGTCACTTCCTCGAGGACTGTCCCTGATTATCCAGTGGGAAGCAGTCTCTCCCTGGTCTGAACATCTGTGACACCTTCGCTATACCTCACCTGCTATACTCCCTACTCCCTACCCAATTTTTTGAAAGTATTTTGGTCTCTTTTCTTTTTTTCTTTTTAAGTTCTTTGAAAGCAAAGTGCATTACTCCCCAACCCCAACACACATGTATCTCCGTGATAAATTATCTTGTCTGCATGTTATATTTTGTCAATAAAAATCTCTGTTGAGTTTAAGTCAAATCTGAAGTCTTTTTAAAAATTCTTTTCCTTGTTGATCCCTGGGCAATTTGTGAGACATTTGATTCTCCTCTTGTTAAATGTCTTCTCACTTGGATAAAAGACTTGACACTTTCTCAGTTGTGAGTTTCTCTCTGAACTTCCAAGAAGAAACACAGTTTTGCCTCTTACCGCTCTTTTTATTGAATATAGAAAACTATTAGGACTAAAGTATTATAAACATGAAGAACAAAAGAAGATGTGAGGGCCAGCGCTGCGGCTCACTGGGCTAATCCTCCGCCTTGCAGCGCCAGCACACCAGGTTCTAGTCCCGGTCGGGGCACCGGATTCTGTCCCGGTTGCCCCTCTTCCAGGCCAGCTCTCTGCTGTGGCCAGGGAGTGCAGTGGAGGATGGCCCAGGTGCTTGGGCCCTGCACCCCATGGGAGACCAGGAAAAGTACCTGGCTCCTGCCATCGGATCAGCGCAGTGCGCTAGCCGCAGCGTGCCAGCTGCGGCGGCCATTGGAGGGTGAACCAACGGCAAAGGAAGACCTTTCTCTCTCTCACTGTCCACTCTGCCTGTTAAAAAAAAAAAAAAAAAAAAGAGAGAGAGAGAGAGAGAGAGAAGATGTGAGCCCTTGCTGTTAGTGTGGGCCTGAACAAGCAGCAGATTTGATTTTGATTTGATTTTAACATTTGATTTTGTTAGAAATGTTGAATATGAAAAAAAAATGTCGAATCTGATTCCTGATGTAAAATTTATGGGATTATAATGATCATTATAGTGAATTCAGTAGAAGATTCATAGGTAAATTAAAAAGTGCAAGGCTTTGACCTGGGCAATGCCTGAAATGTAGTACAGTTGTGGCACTGAGGAGAAAATGCTGCAGAAAAGAAATGGTCTTGTGTCTCTGTTCAGCATTGAAGTAGGATTAAGACAGGAAGCCTGCAGCCAGTGCATTCTCATATATGGTAGTTGTGTTCTGCGCAGTTGCTGGGACATCCGGATTAGTGAACACTGAGCCATTGCTTCTAGGAGAGATATAGGAGTAGATCTCTGTGAGCTTTTGTTCACAAGTTTTTTGTTAATTGTGAATACATAAACTTGTTTTACATTTGTTTATGTTTTGAAACATCTGTTTTAACTTGGATATTTATTAATATTACACTTAAACAGTATTTCTTTATATTAAAGTCTTACCTGAGCAGTGTTTAGAATTTTACTGATCTGGCTCCTGGCTTTGGATTGGCATAGCACCCGCCGTAGTGGCCATTTGGGGAGTGAACCAATGGAAGGAAGACCTTTCTCTCTGTCTCTCTCTCTCTCTCTCTCTCACTATCTGTAAACTCTACCTGTCAAATAAAAAAAAAAAGAATTTTACTGATCGCCAGTAACGTTATCATAAATTTCTTTGGTGTCAGTCTTACAACAATTCTATTTACTGCACTTAAGAAAATCTGTCATCACATGGATCCACACATTTAGCTACTTTTCTTTAATTTCATTGTAATGTCTAGAGGTTGCTTTTCTGAACAGCATCACATAAAATTTGGTGGCTTCTTTCCCTTTTCTAAATATACTGTATTATTGAATCATTAACATTGAGCTCACAGCCAACAGCGCTATAACTCATGACTGAACAAACCTTATCTAGCACTAATTTTTTTCTCTGCAAGGCACATTACAGCCTTCTTGTGCTTAAGCACGCTAGATGGCACTTTGGTTATTATGGCATAGAGCTATTTTAAACTGCAACATCACCAACAGAGAAATAAAAGTTTAAAAATGTGCTTTCAGCTATCACAAAGAGGAAACTTCTGTTCAGTGTGAACACTGAAATAAAAGGCCCTGTTGAAAGCGTGTCCTTCAAGAGATTCAAGTTTTGCGTTACTCTGTACAAATCCACAAATGACTGTAAAAACACTGTGAGTATTCACTTTGAGGGTTATAAATAAGATTTAGCAAACAGATGAATTAACCAATATGGAATTTGTTAATATTGATGGGCATATGACTCCAGATGGCAATGTATGTCAAACCATGGCTGGATTTCAATTACTTTAGGATTCATAAATTATTTCACAAATATTTCTTAGGCATTTTCTCTGCAGCAGGAATACACTGACTATAAATTCCTGGAGGAAAAAAAGAAATCACTGCCACGTTCCCAGTTTCCAAATTTTTCCTTGCAGAAAATTATTCTACAATGTACTATTTTTATTGTTTGTTTTTTCATTCTTAGTTTCCAGCAAGCTATCTGAGCTGAACTTGGAGAAAGAGATTTAGCCCTAATTGTTTAGGGCTTTAAGCTGATGAGGCCTTGAGCACTAGGAACATCCAGCAAATCTAAGTACAGGAGGCCATAGCTGCATGTACAGAAATATTTAGAAAATGAAGTTGTGATGGAAGAAGGAGAAGGAACACAAAAATATGAGATGGGGGGAGAGAAAATAGTGGGATCAGTGCAGACTTTGTACTTGGATTTGAAATGGTTGGTTCCAGTCTATCTAGGCTGTCCTCCACCTCCCCACGTTTGCACAGTAGCCGTTCATCCAGATGTCACAGTTAACAAGAAGACAGTGTAAGATTTGAAAAAGATAAAGACACATAAGAAAGAAGTAAAAAAGGTTTTTAGTTGGTTGTCTGTACCCTCGGCTGTAGCGATCAGCCTAAGGCAACCATAGGAACAAATCTTTGACAATGTAATAAGCCAAATGATTGACAGGCTATCTGTAACTTACACAATCATCACGTGCATCCATTTACACTTTCTCAGAGATAGTTCAGGGCTATACACCTGTGCTCAGGTGACTCAGTTTATAAAAATCCTGTCTTTTGTGTTTGGTGGCAGGAGACAGATACTGTTGAATGATGTGTCGATGACATGGTGTGTGATTATATATATATATAAAGCTCAAAATAAATCAATTCATTTTTTCAACACTAGGGAAGCAAGCCTGTGGGTAAAATTGTATGAGTGAGAAGGCAGAGGTAAGAGAACCGTAATGAATCCAGATTAAACTGTATCTAATCATAGTGACTCCTGGATTCCTCACTGATACCACTCTTTGTTGGTTCAGTCTGACAAGCTGGGTTTTCTCTTGTTGGTGACTGAAATGTATGTACCTCAGGAGAACTGGTTGATTTTTATCCTTGATTTCAGCATTCTGCTTCACTTCTTTCTACTTCCTCCTCTCTTCCTGAGAATGGCTTTCCTTAGAATTGATTTCTTCTCTCACTTTGTCTTACATGTGCCAGTACTTTATTAACCTTCTATGCTGCCTTGGTTTTAACTAGGTCATCTACATTAGTCCTTTTTTTAGACTCATCCTATATCTCTGTCAAACCACTGGCCAGCAACTGGGTATGTGAAGGATTTAAGGGAAGGCTCCCTAATCTTTATTCTTTTCTTCAGTTAAATAGAGGAAAAAATATTCTTAGATTTTCTATTAATGAAAAAAGAAGGCAGAATCAGCATTTAATAATCCATGAAATACTGCAGCTACAGTTAAATAATCAAAATACAAAAAATTTCCCCATGGATTTCCTCATGACAAAATTAATTCATTCATTCACCTATTCATCACATATTCAGCTTTTACTATGTATGTGGCCAGTATTTTCACTGATAATGTTTTAAAATTTATGAGAAGCAACTATAACTGTAAACACTGAAAATAGTATTAACAGTGTTTTCCTCCAAGCAGGCTCCTTTTAGTGCTTGTATTTAATCGAGCAGAGTCAAATGTCACAAATTTTTGTATCCTTTCTTTCACAGCTTTTTGGTTTACCAACACATCCTCTTTAAAAGCCTCTAAACACTGGCTGTTCCTTCCTCTATTGCTGGGCCTAATCAACCCTTAGAATAACTGTTGTGGTTTCTTCTCTGCATCATTTATTCCTGCTGGTTTCTTAGGAAACACTCTGCCTGTGGCTGTGATTCAGGCTCAGCCCACAGAGGTTTCCTTTGAAGAGAAACACCACCTTTAGAGAGGATTGAATCCCCAGCTGGAAACCGTGAGGAAGGTTTGCAGTTAGATTTGAAAGCAAGTAAAAGGTGATACGTCAGCCTCCTGGGATTTCAAAATCGGGAAAAGGCTGCTGTGTTAGAATGTTGAGCCGAGCAGGAAAGGAGCGAGTGAGTGAGTGAGGATCAAGCGGCTCCATTTGTGAAAGCAGACAAGGAACTGGGTGTTGTACCAACCCGACCTTGGACCATCCCCTAACTATTTGGATCAACATGAAGGAAGATGTTTTTAAAATATGAATTTGTGTTGTGTATAAAAGTGTGTAAGTTAGATAGCATATTTTGTTTTTTAATGTGTTGATTTTGCTTATATAGAGGCACTGGCTGGCCTAATACAACTTCCTCTCTCCCAATATAGGGAAAGTAACTTCAGCTGTATTGAATATAGGGAAGTACTGTAACTTAAAACAAAAAACAAGGAAGATTTATGAGTGATAAAAATTTTTAATCAATTTTCAGTACATTGGAATACATT